TCTTAACTCCTTTTCCCCTCTAGTCAGCAATATGTTAAATAAAACTTATCAGTGACTTGATGCGTCGGAAAAATAAAAACTAAAATTTATTTTCTCTACAATCGCGCTGCAAACATCTTCCTTTCGCCATTTTTTTTTCTATGAAATTTCATATCAGCCGTGCGTAGGGACTATCTGCACTAAGTTCGTTTTTTTTTTGTCTTTAACACTTCTGTCCTCAATGCTTTAAAGTGCACGCATATAAAATTGCCATTTTACTAGAATTCCCTGAAACTGAAGTCAAGTGCAATACGGAAGATATGCCTGCATGCATGTACATACATTTCGACGGCTGAGTGGAAGATCAGCCTATCTCGGCAGCTGGTTCGAAAACGTCCTATCTCAGAAAATGGCTCGAGAACACACTGCTTCAAAATTTGCTAGAAAAACGCAAAGCTTATTTTTTTCGTTAAAAATATACTAACTTGTAAATCAGCTGCTAAGAAATTATTACGTATATATACATAGTAAGTACATAAATCGCACTCCGTACAAGCAACATAAAGTAAAATTTTCCGCCATGCCTGAATATTTCTGTTATAAACACAAACACAACTACGAACATATTTACTATATATTTATATTCACATATCCATCGATATCCCAAATGACTAGTCGCCATGTGTTAACTTTAAAGGCTAAATAAAGCAACTTCGAAGTAGAGTGGCAATATTCAGCAGTCAAAATCGCACAAATAGCAGCAGCCAATCCAATTCGAAACTCTGCTGAGTTGTAAAACCGAAGAATTTTACGTTATTTACCAACACATACTTGTAAAGCACATCCATACATACATATGTACGTATATATGTGCACAGATAAAAAAATGCACGCACGTTCTGCAAGTTTGTTTGGCGGATGTTCTTCTCACCTATTTTGCTCTTACATACAAAATGCAAAAACGCCTTTTGCTTACATATCCACATATCGTATACATGCATGCAGGTATGTACATATATATAACATAACATGTGTACACACATGTAAAAGTCGAGTGTGTGCGAGCAGAGATAGTTGAAAATCCAACGTTAATTGTATGGAAAAACGCCATTATAACGCATTGCAATTAAGCCATAGTAGCGAAAACGGCTTCGGCGGCGCCACTGGCAGAACGTGTGCAAATGCATCGTACGCGCTTTCACAAACAAGATTCGTCGAATTCCCACACGAATGAATGAACAAACGCACTTGTATAGCAGCAAAAACTATTGAATTGGATAAAAGAAAAAAAAAATGAAAGCTACACAAAACTACTAAGTAACTCTTGAGCGAATGAAGGCGGTAAAGTGGCACACGAACTCATTCAAAAACCAATATTCAGGTGCACTTGAGAGGCAAAAATGACAGTTCACCCTTAATGCTGATGTGAAAGAGAAAAGTGGAAAAAAGAAAAATGCGAAAATTTACAAAGATGTGGAAAGAGTTTGTACATATGTACAAAGGGGGATGATTGTGAGGCGAAAGCATTTTGTGCTGCACAAAGACTATGGGTTGAGTGTAGAGAAGAATATTTGTGGGGAAATCAGCTCTTGACATAAAACCTATAATTCTCAAAAGTGGCAAATACACCGCGAGAAATTTTTATTATTTTCCAAACTCACGAACATTAACTATCCAAAGAATTACAATGCAACTTTCATTTAGTGAATATATCGATCATCTTCTTTACTGCTATTTTAATTATTTATTTATTTATTGTTTTTTGTATAAAATACGTATGCATGCACGTATTATTATATTAGCAGGAAAGAATATTACTCATACGCCGTGTATGACTTAAGTGCTCATAACTTCTCCATTTACTATGTATTCCATTTGGATAAACAGGGTCTAATTGTATTCATAAAAGATCTTTCTGTTTTACTTTTAATTTTATGATGAAGCATAGAGTCAATTCTCTTTCACCAGTTTCGTACAGGGTGTGCCAAATAAGATCTACCAATGTTAAATACGTATAACCTCTTTATTTTTTTTAATATTATTGTTATTTTATTTCTGCATGTTATAGTTAGAGGATGAAACGCCAGAAATGATTTCTGGAGCCTCTTACAAAACAATGATTGACCCACGGCAGAGCAGCATCCTAATTTGTGGTACCAACAAGGTGGCAGTCGGCGCACAATGCTAGGCAAACTATGGCAAACTAGGCAGACAATGGTAGGTCTTATTTGGCCCACCCTGTATGTTTCTGCAAAATATAGAAATGTGTGTTTTTTTTTTATGTCATATGTAAGCCGAATGTGTTAAAAAACTGTATCATGTTATCAATGTTAACGCGATAATCCAGTGAGTCATTTTCGATCACCGCATGAATTGAGTCCCTTGCATATGATACTGCTTCGTTCAAGGTTTCAGGGAAGTTTTTATCCTTCAACCATTTCCGGATATCAAGACCGATCAGGACCAAAATTTAGCTAACGATTTTCGGCATTTTTTGTTTCATTTGAAAACATTAAAATTTCTCTTCAGTGGTGTTTGGAAAAATGTTTGGGATAACTCTGTGAGATGTGCAAACAAATCCAATAATTTTATTTTTGCTAATCAACCAACTATTCTCCATTTCACAATTCAAATTATCGCACGTTA